TTCCGATCAAAATTTTTCTGCTATACATATTAACACTTTCCAAATACAACCCTAATGCTCGCAATTTCTAACCTTTTAACCGAAAGTAAATTTCTTCTTAAATTAGGGACATAAAAAACATTTTTAATTTTACATTTCATCTCTTTTTCATTTACGTTACTTAATACTTCCATATTACCTACTCCAACTGCCTCCATATAATTATGGTTTTTGGCAACAGCTATTCTAATAGGATTTTTCAATTTCATAAAATCATAAAAATATTGTTTATCATTGATTAAGTGATCAGTACATCCTGAGTCAATATAAAATAATAAATTTTTATTGCTTACATTTTTGCAGTTTTCTAAACTTAAGTCCAAATCTGACATAAAAACTAAATTTTTTCTCATCTAGCAACTCACTCTGTCCTGCTTTATCTATCTTTTCCATATAATTTTCACTTTTATCATTGTTTCTGTATTGATATTCATTACCATTATAATTTCCTCTGTAACCACTACCGTTTACATAGGATACAATTATTGAATTGCATGCAGTCATTTGTATAGCGGGCTGTGCCAACTTAAAAAAAATGACATATAACAGCTGATTTGATTTATATTTTTATATTTGTGTTTACATTTTTGCATTTTGCAAATTAATATTAATTTTTGCAACAAACCAAACCAAACCAACCTGTAGATGGAGAAAGTGAACACAAATTTGAGGTAAAGGTGAATATTCAATTTTTATTCTTGAAAAATTTATGGTGGTAGTAAGCAAATTTGACGAAAATGACATGCAACGTGCAATAAAATTAGCGCAGGCGCAGGTTCTAATTCCATGCAATGTAATGAAATTGCATCAGCTGATCGAAAAAGAACAAAGTGCGCATGCCTTCAGGCAAGAAATTATTGCATTGCACGAGATTGCATGTAGTGTACGCAGGCATTTATAATGACTCGTTTGACCACAGGAATTGTAACGTTTTCAATTTCTTGGCTAATAAGCTACCTTGTTTTGCCATACTGGATATGATTCCATATAGAGCTACAATGAAATAAATGAATAAACAACTATCTTTTTGTGCCCAGATTTTGTTACCTTGAGTGCTGCCTTCTATTAGAAGTTTTTTTTTTGGTTCAGGTTTGCAAGTTTGGTTAATTGATCTAGGAAGGTTTGATTCAGAACGGCAGGTCCCGCTGTTATTGATTAGAATCTTAGGAAAAGGAGAGTTTTTTTCATCATCTCTGTTTGCAAATCTAATTGATAAATAAATAATCTGAGGTTATGATAATAATTGTTGTTTACTTTTTGATTTTTCATTTCCATCATGTCATTGAACAGCTGTTTTGTCTAGGCGTTTTCTTTAGACCTGTTCTACGTTTTGATATATGTTCTATAGGCACTTTTCAACATTCACCAGTCATTTTTTACACAACCGATTCTCAGTTCGTACTTTTGGGGTGAAACTGAACACGTCCTTTTCTATAATTTTCTTCAATGTCAAAATTAGAAGTTTGACAGATGAAAGTCTTCTTCCGAAATCTAAATTCTAAATGAAGAATCTGCCCTTTTGATCTGCGACCTCACGCTGAGTAGTCGTCCGGTCTCGGGCCTCGGCCCTAATTATTTTTGGGGCGAAACTTTTTGGAATTTTGTGCCAGGGAGCTCAAGTAGACTAATTTCTTGCTGATAATTGTCTAGAGTCGTCCCTTGGTCATTTTTGGATTCTGTTTCGGTAAGTTTGAGATTTTCTTCAGGAAATATTAACCTACAACACGTGTTCCATTTTTTTTTAATAGGACTGTTCCGAGCAGCATTTGGAAGTTTAAGACTTCACCTTTGGTCTAGAGTATCCCTCAATCTGAGGTAAGATTATTTCTAATATTTGGGGCTCGATTTGTTTTTTTATACGAACATCGTTATAGGGTCCTAGTCTCAGACTATAGTTGGACAGTTGCTAGGCTGTATTTAGAGAGATTCTAGACTGGATCTAGATTGCTCTCAGTTGGGGCTTTGGTAGCCATTCTTCAGCAACTCTCTTGGTAGCACTCTGGTGGAACCACGTCGAGTTCTACGTTAAACAGATACAACGTGGATAGGACTCATGACTCACTTACCATACCATAGTCTATCTACAGTGAGACCAAACCTGTAGATAATCTCCCTTCAAAACTTCTGGAGTTACACATACATTTGAAGAAAACTAACACTTGTATCCCATGTAAGTTACACCTTTTACTATTTAGGCAAATCCTATGTAAATCACTTGATACTAAATCAGGTTCGGTAAGTGCCCCTTAAATAAAATTCTAGAATTTTACCCTGAGGTTGCCCTAACTATAACTTTCACCTTTCTGTGTTTAATTTGCCTGATGGTAAAGTGTAACCCATACTGTATTTTTCTTTTCACGCACAAGTGTAAATACCAAAAGGTTTTTAGTCATGTTTACTTAAAATTCATATTTATATATGCATTATTTACATTCATTCTTTTGATAATCAAATATTTATAAATTGGTACAAGCCATAATGTATACACATTTTTAACAACGTCCTGGCTATCCCTATTCATTATTGTTATTATTTTTTTTAATAAAGAAGCCAGGTACATTATTGTACCTAATTAGTTGTTTTATTGATAAGCTCTCCAATTGCACAGGTTTTGTTTAAACATCATTAGGTTATCTTCCTAGTTAAGTCACAATTAACTTGGTGGCGCCCAAAGGTAAGATGTATGATGTATACAAGGAACCCATAGACCCATGGCCTCCGAACTGTTGCTGACTAGCCGTATGTAGTATAATTAGGCAATTGCCATAATAAGTAGGTACGTTATAGAATAACATACTCCTGATTGATGAGTTGAAATAGTTATTTATGCACCTAGGTCAAAAAGTACAGCTTTAACGCCCGCAGCGTGTGTAACAGCCTGAGGCGTTAGCCGAGGGCTGTTTACACGCTGAGGGCGTTAAAGCTTTTTTTGACCGAGGTGCATACAAGATTTTATGCACGATGAGCATGTTTTCATTTTGATATTTGAAAAATTATATATTTTTAATTTAGTAATGACATCAATCAAAAATATTTCAAAATATAAATTTTCATGTTCACCGCATAATAAGTCATAAGTTTTTGTCAAATTTAGATCAAGAAAGCAGTTGTTGACAAAAGTATCACGTAACTATTATAGCAACCCAGAACAATACAAACAAATAATTATTTTACTCTGTCTATTGTAAGTGTATAGTTTTCTTATGTGTAGTCTGGCGTCTGAAAATGGAGCAAAATAGCCTTTCCAAGTTTATCCTTGAGGCAGTTGAAGAGGCCAAGGAAGATCTATTACCTTCAAAGTCCAAAAGACTATGAAAAAACATATAGGAACTTTATTTCCTGGTGTGCTCAAGATGGTATCAATGAGCAGCAGTACTTTTCAGAAGAAACTGTCCTGGCATAAACATTAATGAAAAATGCAATAAAAAATAAGCCATTCACCCTTTGGAGATATTACTCAATGTTGAAGGCAATTTTAATTTGAAAGTAGATTGAATTTTATTATTATTGCTTATTCCATTATTATTATTAATTGAAATAAAGCTTGTTTTGTTGAACAAAGTTAGGGTTTCCATAAAGGTTTTTCGGAATTCAGGACAAAGGAGTCAAGAAATCCGGACATCGCCGAAATAGCTATTCCTGCAACAAGTGTGTAAAATGAAAGGCGAGTGCGACAAAATTCACATTCGTGATAATTAGGTTCACTTTACACACGTAGTGCATGTACAAAAAAAAATTCTACTACCAATAATATATGTGAAAAAAAATTAATTCAGAGAAATACTTCACGCACTAGAGCTTAAAGTGTACTAGTGTGTACTACTAGAAAAAAATGACAGTGTCGACATCTGTCATTGACACTTCTTCATGCACTAATGTGTAAAGTGAATTACTTTATGTACTTATGCGTGAAGTAAAATTTTACGTTTTTTGGATAATGCGTAAACTGATTTAGTATGACTGTTTTCACGATCTCCGAGTTTTCCGGACATTATTCCGAATTCCGGCCGGACTACCCCGGACACCCTAAAAACCCAAACATGTCCGGGTAAATCCGGACGTATGGAAACCCTAAACAAAGTTGATATTTTTTGTACTAAGCAATAGAAATGCAAAAGGTTCAAAAAATTGACTCGAATTCTTGCTTATTTTTGAAATTTTAGAACTTTCAGGCCCGCGGGCATAAAAGGCGCCCTAGGGCGAAAAAGTACTACTTCACGCTCTAAAATGCGGGCGTAAAAGTGCACCTTTACTCCCGTTCGTGCATAAAAGTTGATGGGGTTACATTGTCTTGCCTCTCATTGCTACTTCCACTACAAGCTTCGTATAATGCTTTCCTTTTTTAAGCTTCGGCTCTCCACTTAGCTTTGGCAAAGTTCATTGTTAAATCTTGGGGTACATTTTCTAATATCGTTATGACTAGCTGTTCCAAACATTTCAGGCATAGCAAGCAACAAAGAATAAACATGTTCTTTCAGAACTGCCCCTGTAGCATTTAACTGCCTTATAACTTCATATCATATTCAGCCGAAAATTCTTCCCGTTTACTACCATCCTGAAGCTTCATCGACGTTAGTTTCTTTCTAAGAATCAACTGGCCTGGAATGCCCTTTTTCCGTATCTTTCCTTTAAACTATTGTTCCACATACTAAAAGCAAAAGCTGTCTGTTTTTCTCTAATTAAATCGATTTGCGAATCATTCAAGCATTGTACTGTAATGGACTTACATTTATTATCTTTCTTCTTTGCTTCAGCCTGCAATTTATTAGCACTTTGGTAATCTGATTCATTAAATTATTTGTCAATACAGTCTAAAATATCTTTTTCCTCGAAGAAAATACTCATACGGAACTTCTATTGTTATATTTCTTCCAATCATACAAACATTCAGTTTTAATTTTCTTTCGTTTCACTGCTTCTCATGATGTTATATGTTTTCGCGATTTTCTCTGTGTAATAATCGAGACTCTTCTCTTTGATCTCAAGTCTTTTTGAACCTCATAACAAAGTCTAGTCTCATAATTTTGAATCCATTTTTATAGATTTTATGAAGCTCAATAGGAAGTGTAACTTCCATGAGAGCCTGAAAATGCTCATTATTTAGATTTTTTCCCAAATATGTGATTTTGCTAAAATTTTGAGGAATATATCTAATCAATATTAGTGTTTTGCAATCAGGTAGATTCAATAATTGCTACCTTCATTACGCAAGAATGTGTTTTTGAAAGACTTAAGAAGAAAGACGATAATGTGAAAAATATTCCATTTTTGCTAAAATTATGTCCTAACCTAACTAAACGAAATTTTTATGCCTTCAAAAATTTTGCGACAACTTCAACAGAATCGGACATGTCACGATATTATTTGAAAAATTAACAAATCTGATTGTTTTGCCTATGAGTTTTATTATTCTATTGTACCTATGTACATCAAGGTGCATCTATCCGCGATTTTATTCAAAGTTAAATCTGTAAACCAGCAATAAATGTTTATACCTGTATTAATCACTCAATTGTCGGCATTTTATTGAGTCTTCAAAATCAATAATAGGAGGAAGCCCCTTTCGGTTTACTTAAAAAATCCTAAAACCCGAAAAACTACAAAGTATTAAAACTGGGTTAGTGTAAAAACTCATAAAGCGCTCTTTCGTCGAAAAGCGGCCCATAAACAAAAAAAAGCTCCTCGCTGAAAGAAATCGGAAGGTGCGAAAACGAACGACGAACGAGGTAAAAAGAGGAGAAGCGAAAGAAGGACGAAATGCAACTTCACTTATGCGGTGCGCCGCTGTTGTCCACTTCTTCGTCCGCTCCTTTTCTCGCATTTTTATTCTCTTTTCGCTCGAATCCGAATAATATCCATCCGATCCGATCCGATCCGATCGAGAGCTTACAGCACAGCAGCAGCCATTTGATGATGGGTAGGGAGGTTAGAGTAAGTGCTCCGAGTGTAAGTACGCGCTCAAATCCTAGTAGGCGGTAAACGCGAAAGGTTCACGCGCAAGTGTACACGGACCGACACAGGAGGGCCTAAAAAGGGCTCTACACGGACGATATAGAGGCGAATTGTTTCAAACAAATTGCAATCCGGCCCCCTTGCACTCTCTATTCACTGGAGACACTGAATGTAGTGTGCGTTGTTTGTTGTTTTGCGCGGAAATATTTGTTAGTGGACTTTTGTGAACTTTTTTTTTTTTGGATTTTTGTTTTTGTTTATTCGACGTTTTATGTGATTTTTTTTTTGTGATTTTTCGACAATTTAAATGTGAGTAATATCTGATGTTTTTATAGTTTGTAATTTGTAATATTCTTGATTTTTGCAAATAACTGTAGTTTTTATAATAATAATAATAATAATAAAAATATTTATTGCGTAATAAAATAAAATAAAATACAAAATACATTATTACACAAGCGGCTAACATTCGCTCAAGCGTTCTTCCATGTTGCCTTAAAATAATATATTTTTAAGTGCAACTTTTCTTCTGATTCTTGTTTATTTTTATTTTATTTGTATTTATTTATTTTTTGCGCAACTGCACTATTTAAATTATTGTTCTTTATTAATTTCACCGATTTGTTTATATAACTTAATAATTGTATTTACTTGTTATGAATGAGTTTTGAAAATCTATTCTTTTTTTTTTATTATTTTTACAATTTTTTTTTTCGGCTCAACAATAAACATTTACATTCCGGCGTAGTCCACAAGTAAAGGTAAATTTATCACCTTTCCCTATCAAATAGCACTGAAAGGTGATACATTTTACCTTTACCTTTGGACATCGGATAATAGATAATAGTTCTATGATTTCATAAAATAATTTGAATATTTATTTTTTCATATTTTGTTCTTTTTTTTTTCAATCAAATGTTTCAAATAATTAAAAAGACTATTCCATCGAGGCGTTACACTTGATCAATTAAAATGCATTAACTTGCGTATTGATTTTGCAATTATCGGTAACCAATCACGGATAAGCCAGAATAAATGGTTCTTTTGCGCCGCTGGCCGCACAAACGTAGTTTTTAAATGTGCCGAGGGGGGTTATCGGTTGACGTCCCCCCTTTTTACCCCATTTTTTTTTCTCGTCTTTCTCTCGCTCTATTTTTGCGCATATCCCGAATTTTTGCCATTGCGCGCCATTGTCCACTTACTAATTTTTAGTGCTGTATTGATTTTATTTATTTTAACGCTCTCTCTCGCCTCGAACTGAAACCGAAAACGGAACGCAATGGAAAGGAAAGCCCTCGAGATTTCCGCGTTTCTTTAAATCGGAAAAGCGGTTCGACCGACCCCCCTCTATCGGCCGGACCCCCCCGACCATAACTCTTTACGGGGGTCTTGGACAAATTTTAGACTGGAAGAATTTTTTATAAATACTGTATCGTGAAATAGGTACAACTTCACATACTTGGTTTTAGCGCGGAAAATTAACTTTTACATACTGAGTCCGGTAAAATTAAAAAAAAAAAATACGGACTAGGCCTGTAATAAAATGCCATTTTATAGCACTGGTATTGAAAGTACCTACCTGATATACTTTTAGCACTTGTGTTAAAAGTGACTTTTAATGATGTTTGTAGTTTGTAAATAGTCTATGATATTCGTGTTAAAAGTAATTTTATTTTGTTCGGGGGGATCGGACACTCCACTTTTAGCACTTACATCATAAACAGTTTTATGGAATTGAAATTCATTACGTCAGTAGATACCTTCTGGACAATGTTTCCGTTTCCACCCAGTAAACAAAAATCCGTTGCCAAAGCCTAAGGACAATTAGGTACTTTACAGGTGTACGAGGTAAATTATTAGTATATTGTATACCTAGGAGAAAAAAATGAACATTCCCGGACTACCGTAGAGATACGGAAGCCACATTCCCGGACTCTTACTTCCTACTAGGATAACATGTAATACTATTTTTCAGAAAATTTAAAATTATTTAAAGGACATACATTACTTACAACAAAATTTTGAAATAGAATTAATAGTTTTATTCACAAATGGGTTAAGGATGGCATTATTTCAAAATGTACCAGAGCAAATCTTATTTCGATGAAATTTGGCTTGATAAGGTTCGAGTTTGGATGAAATATGCCTCGATTAACTTTGACTCGAAATTGAATTTGAATGAAATTTTTCTTGATAATACCTACCTAATTAACACATAATATATAATATTACTAGTGTAACGTAAAAACGTGCTTTCTGAATTGTCTTTACTTAAATCTTATCTCAGCATAACCACAACTCTTCTTTTCTTCTCCCAAGTACTGCTAGCGCCATCTCTATAAGAAATAAATTACCCAATGTACTATGATCGAAAATTTAACATCCTAGATTAATGCGTTCCTTATATCAAGAGCAAATTTTTAAATCTGAATTATACGTATTTTGTGAATATGACCATTAAATTCACAATCGTCTCTTCTATTCTCTAATTTCTAAGCTCTGTGTCACTACTCACTACACTTTTCTTCAATACTAATCTTTTCAACAAACTATATCAAAGATTCTAAATCTAAGTTTACAATATTTACATTAAACTGAACCTCTTAGTTGTAAAACAATTTACTTTACAGTTACGTACATAAATAAAATCTAATTCCATGTCAATATGTTCTATAATTATTTTAAGATTCTTAATAATTAATAGTCTGATTAAAAATCGTCTGATCCTCGGTCCGATCATCTTCAAATCTTTTACCATTTTTGTTAAATCAATTAAATAAAAATTCATATCTGCCAGTAATTTTTCAAAGCCACAGTGAATCCTGAACTGTTGCAAACAATAAGCTCAGCTTTAAAATGATCTATATGCGGCTCGATATGCGGTAAAGCAATACATTAATTTTTCCTAAGAAACCGTGTTAGCAAATATCTCAACTTAATACCCTGATATTGACTTCCTATTAAGGTACTATCGGGTAATAAGGCCAGGTTAACATCATTTATGAAATATTTATTCTAATGGCATTTTGAACAGGATGGCCTTATAACCTGCCCGACATTACCTTATTTAAATCCTCGTTTAAATCGTTTGATGCCCAATCACAATCTGAATCAGCATAACAACTAAGTGGTCATTTATCTTTCTTTTATGCCTCAAGCTTACTTTAGCAGTTTCCTTTGGATGCATTGATAATTTAATCCAATCCAAACTTTTCTATGTTCCTATCCAGATATCCACTGAAATAGTTTCAGGGAGGTCTTCCTCGGTCTCGTTTGTCGGCTCTTGGTCTCCACTCAATGAGTTTCTCCCGTCCTCAGATCTTTCAACGTGGCCTGCCCGTTTCCACTTTTGTTTTGCGATACGTTGTCCACCTAGTTCTTATGCGGATCTCATTCCTTACTCGGATTTTAGAGTCAATACAAGCATGGATCTTTCTAATCGTTACTCTCAACTTTTCTGTTGATGCTTTGGTGAGAGTCAATGTCTCCACACCATAATTCAGGACTGGAAGGCCACGCTGGTTGAATTCCTTTCGTTTCAGGGATATTAGAATGTCAGCCCTAAACACATTCCTTATTTTCCCGAATGCTGCCCATCCCAAAATTATTCTTCTCGCCAATTTACATAATATTTGGTTATCTTTGTGAATTCTCATTTCATGACCCAGGTAGGTATACGTAATTTATCCATGGTTGGAAAAAGTAATAAAAAGTATTTTTACTTAATTTTCACTTATTTATTTACAACAGTAACATGTTTCGCTACACTGTAGCTACATCTGACTGATTCAAAATTCAATTTTCACCAACTATAATATCGGCTCAATCAATTCAATATACGTAATTTCCCACCAGATTAGTCATCGTTTGGCCCACTTCTTGCGTGGAATTTTGAAATTCCTGGAGCATTTCTTTAAAATCGCCCAGACTGTCTGATATTAGGACCATAACATCTGCAAAGCGAAGATTATTAGGTTTACCGCCTAGGTCTACAATATACTATTTTTTATAAAAATGCTTTGAAATAAAATTGAGAAATATAATGACCGATATCGATCGATATACTTAACTGGTAGATTCCTTCCAGTTGCCACCGCTCGAAGGTCATTTAGTAAATTGAAAATATTGAAAAATTACTTGAGAAATTCCATAAATCAGCATAGATTGCATGATCTTTCCATTTTATCTATCAGACATAGCACAGCGTCCAATATGGATATTCGGTATTTAGTGGCTCCAGAAAAATTATTCAATGGATAAAGAAGCCACAGATAATCAAAATTTTAACTATTACCGGCTCTTGATTCTCTGGAAAACTTTCCTATAGTCAATCCGGTAATGGCCCTGGGACGTCGAGTTAACTTGTTTTGATGATATTTACCTTCAGGTGTTAATTACTGGAGCACTATCAATAACTGGCGCAATTACCTTATTTCGCAATATCGGCGATCAACTCTACTTTCTTGTAGTGATCTCAAGATTGCAGATTTGATGAGCATCTTGTGGAGGAAAGGTTGATGAGGTGACCTTTATTTTGGGATATCTCTTCAAATAAGCTCAGAAAAAAATAAAAACTCTTTTGTAAAATTTCGGGTTAGGTATTCCCAATATTTTCGGAACTATTCAGAATTTTTAAATTTTCGAAACGGTATTTCGTTAAGCGTAAAATTGTGCAACTTTGCCTCAATTTAATTGACGTATTTTTTATGGTTTCCAAGATCCCCATGCACACATTCGAATTTGTACCCAACACCCGTATAATCACCTACTTTATTCTTATATTCTGTTTTATTGCTCGTCTCTATTCTTTAACTAATCAGAACCAGCTGAAAGGAACTGGCAACGTCGCAAATTTCCTATGGATTTTGTGAGTTGGCGATACCCGTCATGTCTGTTACAATTTGACACTTGGTTTGTTGGTAGTGTTGGTACCGGTTTTTTCTGTCGACGCATTTAAATTGTATACAGTGTGTATCAGCCGAATGGAATAAATTCGATAATAAATAAATGTGGAACTTTCCGAAAAAACGCTTGTATACGTCGATTTTGTTTTATTGCTCTGCGATTTTCTCACAACATTTTTTTTATATAGGGTGTTCCAAGAACAGCTGTATGCGGTTATCAACTTTATTTTTTTAAATGGTACCCCCTGTATATTATGACACGAATGGATTCTGCGAAAAATTCTAAACATCATATTCCATGTATAATGTCATACTATCTTCAACTGTTTCGGAAATATTGACAGTTGAAAATTGAGTTTTTTGCAACTTTGACCGGCTGACGAAATTTTTAATCATGGATTAAAT